TTAGGAAGGGGAGAGAAGCCACAGCCACAGCTGAAGCAGACGCGAGCATGCACGTAACACGCTGAGTCCGATCGTGCGTGACTTCTGGGATCCTGAGGGACAGCGTTTCACCCGGGGCTCTGGAGTCAGACTGCGCAGGAAGCCAGTGCGTGAGTGTGGACAGGCCGCGCGCTCACTGCTCTTAGCTCCCTCACCGCTAAGATGAGGACAGTGAAGGCACCTATGTCGCTGGATTCTTTGAAGTTTCTGTGTGTAGATGGAGAGCAGCTAGAAGCCCACCAGCCACGTAATGACCAACACGTAACTCAGAGCTAGTCTTACGGTTCTTAGTACTAAATCATTAGGGCTATGGCTTTCATTTGCTGGAAACTTCGAGGGACCTTTCTCACTCCCCAACAACTAGACCTCAGCTGTGAGACACACTGGAAAATGTACCAAACGTCCAGGGACCACCTCCCAAAATGAACAAAAGGAGAAACGAGCAGATGATGGCGGCAAGCCTGGAGAAGCAGGGAAAGGTGGGGGTGGGCCGGGGAGGCCCCGAGTTCTGTAGGTGAGAAAGAAGTTGATGTAGAAGGACATGGGCTGGGAGTTCCAGAAGAAGAAAGGAGAATGCGGAGGAATGGCAATATCCCCAAAGGTCACGGCTATGAACCTTCTAGAGTGGACGAGGAAACATAAATCCGTAGGTATAAGAAGGAGAACGAATTCCAAGCAGAATAAATAGAAATCCTAGGGATATGTTATGGGTGGAACTGCATTCCTGCAAAGTTCCTGTGTGCATGTCCTAACCCTCACGGCCTCAGAATGCGGCCTCACCCGGAAAGAGCGTCTTTGCAGTCATAGTGAGTTAGGATGGGGTCCTACTAGAGTCGGGTGGGCCCTGATCGCACAGGGCTGGAACGCGCACAGACACACAAAGGTGAAGGGGGCCTGGAGGTGCGCAGCTTTCCCTCCAGGGGCCAGGAAACAGGATGAGATCCACAGGCACACGCACACATGCGGGCAGAGAGAATGCTAAACCAAACACGGCAGAAAGTTAAAAATTGGTGAATCTGGGTAAAGGGCACACAGAAGTTCTCTGTATATCCTGGAAGTTTGAAATTACATTAAAATAAATGATAATCATTTTAATTCAGAGCAAAGAAAAAATAATGGATCATACCGGCATAGCTAAAGTCTGCGTTAAAGGACAGACCCCGAACGCGACGCCCTCAGTGAGAGAGTGTGTCTTGCCTCCAGCTCACGCAGGAGCAGGGCACTGAACATGCGGATGCTGAAGAGAAGCAGGACCCGTGCAGACCGTGTGTCCGAGTGTGGTGCACACACCTGTCACCGACAGGCAGAAGTTAAACAACAGACTTGAAACAGACGGGGAAGGGATAGACTGACGGCTGGTATCACACCGGCAGGACAGAGGGGGTTGTCACGCCCTTGGGGCGTGGTGACCCACTGCCGTACCACCCCCCACAAAACAGGATGCTCCTTTGGCCCTGGAGGCTGCCCTGCCCGCCGCTGGGGGTTTGCAGGAAGCACCCACCATGCTTGACACAGCCAACCTGGGTGGGTTAGTTCCACTTCCTTCAGAGAGAAAGGACAAGCACCTGGGCATGATAAAAGGAGACTCCGTCATCTGCATGCTGGTGGGTTAGCAGGATGGCTAATGTCGAAAGTGGTTTTGACTCTGTGGGTTACAGACTTGGAGAACTCGGACCCCACCCCTCACGTGGGGAGGTCTTGATTTTGTAAAATTTCAGCTTGCTTGGTTTGAAAAGCGAGGACGGCACCCACCATCCCAAACGAATCCATCGAGAGCTGCAACACTGTAGCCCCTGACGGGTAGGAAACGCGCTTGTGGTTTGAAGACCTGAGAGCAAAGCTCCAGCCGTCGGAATGAGAGCAAGAGCCCCACCTCCTGTGCAGGAGCAGGGAAGCTGATCTCTGAGCAGAGACAGCTGGTGGCTGTTCGCAAACTTGACCCTCGTCCTGGCCACTGCTGGGGGCGCTGGAATTTCACCCTCTTTCCAGACGGGCTGGCGGGCCAAAGGCTATTTCGTAACCATTTGCAGGGTCAGGAAATGTAGCAATGCCGCGAAGGAAATGTAGCAATGCCGCGTAGGATATGTGCCGCCAGCATGTGATTCATTTTCAAATTGGCCCCAGATCAGGAAGTGACATTTTTTACCCCGTACAGAGAGGCCGGATTTAACCATTCCTGCTGCTGGAAGCCATGCAGGAAACAACACAAAAACACAAAACCCAAAGGGCAGAGCACTTTTCGCAAATGCAGACGGCCAGGCAGAGAGCATCGGAGGCGGGGAGCAGAGACAAGGCTGCAAGGAGTTTTTCACACGGGGCACTGGAGTTGGCAGATCTCATCGGTATTTGGATAAATGTGCAAACTCACTTAGATTGTAAGCCCTCGGCCACCGCAGAGGCTGGAAGAGGTTAGCACTTGGGGTGCAGGCCTGGCGGCGAGGAAGGGGCTCTGGCAGGAGCTGAGCCTAGGACGGGAGCAGCGGGGACCCTGGAAGAAGCTCAGGATTAACTGGGTCAGGGACAAGAGTGACCCCGAAGAGTTCCAGTCTTGTTCCAACAAGATCTGAGCATTGTCACCCTCGCCTCCGTGAGGAGGACCTAGAAATTAACATCAGGCACAAATTCCGTGGCCGGTGTCCACACAGGTGCCACGTGATACGTTTACACAGCGCATCCCGAGGCAGAGAATCCGTCCACGTCCACATAAACCTTTTGCTGAACTTGTAAAGACCCAAGTAAAAAAAAATCAGCCACAAAACCTCGTTATTGAGATACTATATATTTTCCCAACAAGAAGCCTAAGGAACATATTTATAGTCGGTCCATGAAAAAAGCGTTGTGTGCTGACTTACGTTTGCGAAACAGTGAGCGCTCCTGCCTCCCGTCCCTTCCCACGGAGCCCCACGCACACACGATAACAAAGGATGAATGAGGACAGAAAGGAAAGGCTTAGCTTCCCCAAGTCCAGCGTTTTCCTAATCCGTTTGCTGGAACCCTTGCGTTGTGGCTGGCGGTGTCTGCAAGCGTTCTGAGCATAGTGTGGGAAATCTCAGTTTCCAGGGTCAGAGCTCCCCAGCCAGCGGCTAGGCCCGGGATCGGGGGGCGGGGGCGGGAACCCAGGCAGGCAGCACCCGCCGCACTGGCCAGCACCATCAAGGCTACCACACTGCCAGTGGCGCCCCGGGCCCCGGAGCCAGTATGGGTGTCCACCCCCGTCTCAGCTCTCACAGCACCGCCTACAGGCCCCGGGTCCCTGACCAGTCCTTGGGTCGGGGCTTTCCCATGTGACGTCCATGATGAAACCCAGACAAGATGTCAGGCTGCCTGGGGTCACTCAGCGAGCCGTCAAAGGTTCACTGGCTACGGCCCCCAGGTCAACACCCTTGAAATGACCTCCTACTCACGGGACCCCTGTTGGGTTGACTTTACATCCCCCATCAGCGTCACTCCGGCGAAGACAGCTGCGACAGCCTGACAGGTACATTCTGGCATGAAGGTTTTCGGTTTGTTCTACAATGACGGTTAGACTTCTTACAGTAGAAGAAGAAGAAAACCAAAGAGTGAAATCCAGACCAAATACTCATTTTCTCAGGGCTCCTGGGTGGTTCAGGAAGCTCAGCGGCTGCCTTCAGCTCAGGTCATGATCTCAGGGCCCTGGGTTCGAGTTCCGCCTCGGGCTCCTTGCTCAGGGGGAGTCTGCTTCTCCCTTTGCCTCTGCCCCTCCCCTCGCCAGTGCCCCCTCTCTCTGTCAAATAAATAAATAAATAAATAAAATCTTTAAAAAAATAAGCTTAAAAAATACTCATTTTCTAGAACAGTCTTTCAACTACTTTATAAGTAAGACTTGTATAAAACCTATACCCACTGTATAGTTAGACTAAATGACTGCATTTACTGATCACAACATGTTAAAACAAAACAAAACAAGCCACCTTACGTCCTTCTGTGCGGCGAGCGTCTCTGGGGCTAATCTCTCGTGGAGAAGAGCTGCCTCCACCCTCTGTGTGCACAGCCTGCAGCCTAGAAGGCTTGCGGGGGGGCAGCCCCAGCGAAGGCCAGCTTGGTGAGAAGGAGCCCCCAGCCGGGTCGTCCGGCACCGGCGGCTCTGGGAGGCCCTCAGCCCGTCACAGGGAGGCGGCCGGCTCCCTGCAGGAGGCCAGCCCGAGGACACAGGCTTTTGGAACACTGGACGGTCGGCCCGGGGTCAGGGCTCGGTCCGTTTCAACCAGGAGGGAAGCAACTTGGGAAAGGGAATGACACGTCCTCTTTCACACGCAGTGGTGGTGGCCACGGTGGACAAGGGAGACACCAGGAATACAACCTACTTTAATGGGCACTCTCTTAAAATTCACACTCAGATTCTGGTGGGGGTCGGGGGGACAGTGGTGACCCTGAGGAGGACATTGTGAGAGCGTGTCCTCTCAGTGGGGAACTTGCCCACGAGGTGCCCCATTTAGAAAGCCGGTCCTCCCAGAGCATAAGTCATTCGTGTGAGAGAAGAGGGACTCAGCACAATGAGAGATAAAATTAAACGGTTTGAAGCCAATTCACAAAACCAAGAACCTCAGATTTTAACCAGAACACGGAATTCTTAGAACTTGAGAGAGGACAGCTTCGGAGAGAAAGCCGCTGGAAAGCTGAGCGGCGCGCTTCTGGCCTCCTGCTCATCGTGCCCCTTTCCGGGCAGACAGCGAGCGTACAAAGCGAGGACGGACTCTGCCGGCATCTCCTCGGGCATCTGGAGCATTTGCAGCCCACACCCCAGCACTGGGTCCCGGGCTACGTGATGCGATCAGAAACGAGACTTGGGTCCTCACTCGGTTCCCCAAGCCCCGAGGTACCCGGACGGTCACTGCTGGAGAACTGGCATACCAGGCTCCGTCGTCCGGTAAAGCGAACGTTGCACGAGAAGCGCCGACGGCCGCCCGCGCTCAGCGGGCCCAAGAGCCCGCGCCACTCACCTGTCTGCTTGGGGAACCGCACGATGGCCAGACCACTCGGATGGGTCGTGCGCGTGGTACAAGCGTCTGCGAAACCGTAAACCTGGAACCAGAAACACCCGCGTCGGGAGGCTGCTCGTGTTAACATCTTGAACCTGGCTTTGACCTAGTGAAGCACTTCCTGCCCCGTCCACGGGAAGGTCCTGGGGCTTGCCACGAGTCTCAGAGGTCACCTCCTGTGGGGCGGCCCTGCCCTTCACCCGGGCGGCCTCGCGGTCCTGGGGAGACCTGCTGCTAACCCGGGCCCCGCAACTTCCTGACGGGCGCAGAGAGCGCGAGCCAGGAGCCCCACGACCACAGCCGCCCAGCTCGGACCCAGCGCCCGCCAGGCGCTCCAGAGAACACGGATAGGCCCCCACGGCGTTCAGACACCCACGGACCCTGCCTCTGGGACCGGTCACCAGATTGTGATATTTCAAATCGGTGTGACGCCTTTGGGTTCCAGCCAAGTGGAGAGGGAGGGCAGGAAAGAGCAGCCGCGGACGAGGACAGTTATGGGGAAGGAAGTGCTGCTCTCGGCGCAGCTGAGCGCCCCGAACCGTATGGGCGGGAGGAGACCCTAAACAGAAGAAGGGCAAGGAAACAAAAACCCATTTCATGCTAATGTTTTCAAAGTGAGACTTGGAAGGCAGACATTTCACTCAACTCCTAGTTCGGGGGGCCCGGCCCCGGTCACCTCATGCGGGTCACCTGCAAGGACAACAGCCCCACAGTCAGGAAAGGAGGCGCAGTGCGCTCGTGGGGAACGTGTCCGATGGAGGGGAACCATCGCACGCCCCGTGCTGAGAGCCGAGGGCCTGGCCTGCCCTCTTGTTCCAGAGGCTTTCCTCCCATGTGCAGAATTTGTCCAAAAGTGAGACACGGGGAAAGTGCTGATTTCTCTGTCATTAGAGTAATTTTAGGTGCAACCCCAGGCCCAGGGCTCAGTTTTCCCTCAAGACCAAAGAGCCAGCAGTGGAGAAAAACACGGCCCACTCAGGCAGCAGGTGCCCCACCATGACACGCTTCTGCTCGCGGCCGGCACCGCGCCGGGACTGTGCCAGGACCGAGATGGGGAAGCTTTCCTTCCAAGGACGGCAGTGGGGCTCTAGCTAAGAGACAACTTTGGGAGACTCCGGGTTCCGAATTTAAAGTGTTGAAGTAGGCGATGAGTTCAGTGTCACGTATGACTCAACCGCACGGGGACATAAACAGAGTCACCGTGTACCTGGGTCTTCTAGGCTCTCCGTGTTGGCGCTGCCTGGCGGACAAACGGGCGTGGGGTTACCTCGGGCCAGTGACAGGGCGCACGGCTGGGATGCCACGGCTGCGACTGCACCAGGATTCTAACGGCCGCCCTCGCAAGTGGTCAGATTTGGCCGGGGTGGAATTTCGGAGCAGGGAGCAGACGCCTCTCATTACAACCGTTAATACGGGAACGGAAACCGGAGATGGGCGCTGCGGTCGTTCAGAACTCCCCGGGCCCTGAACCTCCACATTTTCATCCCAAAACTTGGTGAAAAAAACAAAACAAAACAAACATAAACAAACAACAATGTCGATTATTCTAAAAAGACTTTTTTAAAGAAACGAGTAAGTTTGCAAAGAATGCAGTTTGGCGACGTCTCTGTGGCACGAGCCTGTCATCGGTCTGCCACAGCGTCCCTTTCTCTCCAGGCTTTACTTACAACGAGCCTTTGTAAGTCAGCCAAGTTTTCGGAATCACGGTAAGTCCCGAGTTGTCCGGGTTGCTGCCTCTCCGGCACTCTTGCCTGTAAATCCTCCACACTTTTCGGACTCTATCCCCCCCACAGCCACACGACAGCGTAACACCACATGGACATGCACGGTGTCCCAGGGTCACAGACGTATCGGGGCTCCCCAGCGTCGAGGGAGCCGCCGTCTACCCTCGCACCTGCTCACCGTCACACCTGTATCGTCTGACTTCACCCGCCCCGCGGAGTCTCGCCGCTCCGTTTCGCTCTCCCACCTCAGCATGAGGGACAATTTGGGCAGATAGTTCCTGGTGGGAGGGCAGGCGGCGCAGCGCGGCCTGCGCCCGCTAGATGGCAGCAGCACCCACCCCTCCCCACCCCGCAGCCGGCCGTGACCCTCCCAAGTGCAGACGCTGCAAATGGGCCGGGAGCAAAACCGTCCCCGGCCGAGAGTCACTAACCTACACAATAGCTATTTCCAGGTTCTTCAGGCGCAGAAACAGGGCTTGGTGTGCTTAGTTCATCTGCTCCTGTGCGGGCACAGGGTCACTGGGAGGCCACTAAGTCCCGATCCCTGCGGCCCACGCTTCCTGCCTGCCCACACTGGTGGCGGCTGCGGGGAGACAGGCCTCCTGGACAGGACTGTGAGAGCCACCGGACAGAGGAAAGGACGCCGCGTCTCCCCCAGTCTGAGCCATCGGGTCCCAGCTCGCACGAGGCACACTAATCGCTCTGTAACTGAGTGTTCGCTGTGTGTCCCTAGAGAACGCAGAGGTGGGCCGCTTGTCCATGAGTGTCCGCACCGTCTCCGAGTTAGCTCCCAATCCTAGTCTCCCACTACAGAGGCATCTCGAGGCTCACGGTCTCCAAGTGGCAGAGCAGGAATTCACGGCCAGCAGGTGCTAGCACTTGCTCCCACCGGAACTCGGAACTCGGGGGCTCGTCGATTAGGAATCTCATGGCCCAAGTGCATCCAAGCTGGCCAGCGGGCCAGAGGCCCCCGTTCTTGAGGCCTCAGGGGAAGAAGGTGCAGATGGACGGAAACCTTCCTAATAATTGGTGGTCTTGAGGAAAAGGAAAAGGCAGGAATGGATTCTGTACTCACCACCCTCTGATCTGGCGGGACCTTCTTCACGTCCCCATTTAAGAACCGCAGGATGGTGGTCTTCTGGCCGGCCCCCCTGTTCTTGCCAGTGCCCTTTGAGAAGGTGACGGCTTCATGGCCCTTGCCAAGTGCCTCAGCCACCTTCGTGGAAACACAAAAGTTCCAGCACAAAAGATGACGTAAAGTGTGATTCTCACAGTTTCATTCTTCTCCCCCATCCAGAATCCTCGTGTGTTGACAGTACGGGGTTTATCTCCGCAAGTACTAAGTCAGTCCGCCCCAAACCTCGCCTCAGCCCTGAATCTCGTTGTGAAGGATGGAGGTTATGATTGGCCCCAAACCTCTGCTTCTCTTAAGCTCACGTGATGCGAGTTATCCGTCGTCTGTCTAGACGGTCCACGTCACTGAGTTTGCTGAATGTGGGAATCCTGAACCGTGTAAATGGAAGTCATTACTCTGTCAGAATTACTATTTGTACATTTTTCTTCCCTTTCCATCCCTTTGTTCTGATCCCTGCGCCTCTCTACCTGACCCAAAGACTCACGGATTTCGATTAACCGTCAGCAAAATGGCGCGTGAGTTCAGAGGCATAATGCTAACTAGGAGTTTTGAAAATAGTATTCATGTAACTATTCACAGAAGGGGGGATGCTGACAGACGGAAGCTCAAGACCTGGGGGGCTGGCATCTGCACGTCTGGTAACATCTGCACGTCTGAAAAGTCCAAACGGTGAAAGTGCCATTATTAGTCACATTGTGGCCTCATCGTTCTCGACTGTAGCTCAGAATAAAGGAGCTGATTCGACTGGGGAAGGTGCAGGGGACGACGAGTGGAGTCTGGGTTTCTCGAAGCCTCGTCGGCGACACCTCGAGCAAAGGTCAACGGTGGACACCCCACCTGCCCGCGACGCCACAGCCATCGGCTTTGGGCTGGAATCAAGACCTCTTCGCCCTCGTTCCAAACCAACCGGCGAGGTGAAGCGAGTCTGTGTTCAACTCAGTCTTCGAAGATCAACTGCTCAACCCACAAATAAAAACTCTGATGAGGTTTGAAGACACAATCGCGTCTCAGAAATGAGAAAGCACAAGTTATGTTTTAAACACTCCACATTAGGAAAAGGTTAAATTTTTGTTTACCTTATAAAAAAGGAAGGCGGGAGGATAAGCGAGCACACAGCAGTGTGTGTGTCCAACGCAAGACACACACGGGGGGACCCCAGGCCGGAGAAACGTGGGAGAGAGTGTGGGGGTCACGGGGCTCAAGGGGCCAGCAGGTGCGTGAGGCTTCGAGGCAGGGGAACCAAGCCACCTTCTGCACCCCCAGCCCTCAAGGGGTCCTATGGTTGAGTGAGTGAGTCACCCACGTTCTCCTCCAAGGAGTGGGTAAGCAGCGGCGCTTCCTTCTCATAGACTCCCTGGTGAGACGGGGAGGTAAGGTCTTCAAATCCCATGGTGTCCCCCTGAGAAACCCGTACAACAAACACACCAAGGAAAGAGCGTGTAGAGGGATTCAAGCTGTCCCACAAGTAGCACTCCCTGCTGTTCGTTTACGCGGATGTTTTCTCTGCTTATGAGAGCACGGGTCCCCCTTAGGTCGGCCAGAGCTCCCCACAGGGATGAGGACAATTCCACAGCCCAGTGGGACCGGCTCAAAACAAAGGCTAGGGAGGGGCGCCGGGGTGGTACAGTCCCTTACCCCCCACGCTCGATTTCGGCTCAGGCCGTGATCGGAGGGATGTGAGATCAAACCCGACGTCAGGCTCCGTGCTGAGCGTGAAGGCTGCTTGGGATTTTCTCTCTGCCCCTCCCCCTCAAATCAATAAATCAATACATCTTTAAAATGTTGGCTATGGAGGAAGGCGCTGCTGCCGCTGTGTCCCGGGGGCATGGGAGACCCCAGGGGCAGTGACGGCAGCATGCCCCTTCCGCAGGCTTCCTGAGACAACCGTCATCCCGCGGACGCACCCTTCATAGTCAGGAGGGCTCCTCAAGGGCAAAAATGTGGAGGCCAAGACAGACCACAAAAATGTGGAGGCGATAAGGGGCAGGTCGGGTTTAAAACATGTTTTTCTTGTTTGGACGTTGTGTGGCTTTGTTTACTGGAAACAAACCGGCAGCCAAGGACACTACATTTGTCCCCTCCGAGGGCTGCTTACCTGGCCCCTGGGTCCAAGCCCGTGGGCACCAGCACGGAGCCCCAGAGCCAATCACACAGAAGCGCCCTCCCTCCCAGGGAACCAGGGTGTCTGCCTACCTTGCTGGCTGGGGACCGCGTTCCTTCTTCTTGGTCCCCCTGTTCTGTCTGGGTGTCCACGTGGGAAGGCCCTGGCTCTCCAGGAGGGTTCTGCAGGAAGAGAACAGCCCTGGGCCCACGAGGTCTCCATGAGATCTGCGGCTCTGAGCCGGGGGGAGCCGGGCACCCAGACATCCCGCAGCCCTGCCCACGAGGTCCGCGCTCAGCAGCAATGGCACAGCGGGCCACATGGTGTGCTCCTGTGACGGTTTCTGTCCCCGGCCTCCTCTCTAGGCAGACCTGGGCCAGGACACTCTGGGGACAACAGTGCGGCCTCACGAAGTCACGCATGGGTAGGGAGAGCACCCCAAGAGCCCGCGTGCTTGCGTTCTGAGGCGCTGAAGGGGTGTGCCCTGGAGCCCCAACAGCCCAGTTCAAAATAAACGCAGCCCAGAGGAAGCCGCTACCCCTCGGCACCGCGCGGGGTCGGGACGGGCAGAATGGACGCGGGCTGTTCTTGGGAGGACGCGGGAAAAATGGGACCCGTATTTTCATATTTTCCTACTGGTTGTCTGTGTTTATATCATAAATAAGCTTATATCTCACATTTCCTCCCATAAAGAAAATTATCTCATTTCTTTGACATTTGTCATTAAATATAACACATAATAAATGAACCGCTAGCTGGGGCTTAAAAGTATTTCTGCTGTGGGGCACGTCAGTGGATCCGTCGGTTAAGCGACTGCCCTTTGGCTCAGGTCATGATCCTGGGGTCCTGGGATTGAGTCCCGCATCGGGTTCCCTGCTTGGCGGGAAGCCTGCTTCCCCCTCTCCCACTCTCCCTGCTTGTGTTCTCTCTCTCCCTGTCTCTCTCTGTCAAATAAATAAAATCTTAAAAAAAAAAAAAAAAGGTATTTCTGCTATATGTGCCTTTGATGCTGTTAATTTTAATGAAAATTTATAAATAAAATGATATAAAATTTGATTTGGGAACTCTTCAGTGATACAGAAATATCAGTCTTGTTTTGACTCGGTGCTAAGTGCAACTCCAAAATCTAGGGGGGACAATGTTGCTCCTTATAGGGAAGGCTGACCGTCCCCAGAAAGCAGGGGCCTTTCAAAGCAGGTTAGTGCTCTGTTCTTCCCATGGAGATGGGGGCACGACGAGCGTCTCCGTCCTGGGGGCCTGGCGCCGGCCTCAACCCCACCCACCTGTGGCCTGGCAGTGCCCGGCGGGGAGCAGACGGACCGACCAGCCCGCTCCCGGGTGAGAAGCCCGCCCTCAGGACCCTTGCAAGGCAGTGGACGAGCGCCTGAAAAAGCAAAGAAACGGAGTTTTAATGGAGAGCGCACACACTTCTTAAAAATGCTACTATCCTAGCGCAGTTTCTAAGTCCGCCGTAAGCCAACAGTGAACTCCTTCTTTTCTTTTATGAGATTACGTTGCACACAGG